ACCGCGGGGCTTTGCCCCCGCACCCCAACCCACGTAACTTCCCAATTTGGATAGATTCTTCCGCTCCGCTTCGATCCAGCGTCTGTCCCGATATAGTATATGAGTCATACCATAACAATATGCGTGTACCTGTAATGATGGGAGAGAGTGGGGGTCCTACCAGACAACGAGTGATGAGAAGCATTACTCAAATAACCAAATAGAGGATGCTGGTATTAGACATTGGCACTAAAGGCATCAGCCGAACTCAAGTTAGTAAATGGAGTGCTTTCCTCTGGAGTAGAACTAGGTGCATTGAGACATCAATAGTGTAGGTTCTTACCTTGTTTTCCAGGGATGCCTTGCATTTCTTGTGTTGTGCCCCGAGTATAGCAGAAACAGGAGCATCTTTCAGCTCATGGCCCTTTCCTTTGTTGTATCAACTGCCTCCCTTTCTGCAAGCAATGTCTGATACTCTTATTTCTTTTCTTCAAATGCTCTCTACTTGGTTCCTAATTCATCAAATTCTTCTGTAGTGATGTCTTGATGTTACAGAAATGTTGCTTGACGTCCTCCAATAGACATTTGTCTTGCGAAAAACATTCTCTATGAAACTCCATTTCATCAAATGGCTTTCTAATTGGTTTTATCATATCTGCAATATATTTGTCACCAATCACAAAATCTTTAACTTCCTCCATCGCTATAATCAGGTGGGAAAGCTGTCAGTAACCTGTGAAACAAATCAACATATCAAGCATCAATAGTAACTGCAATTAAATGAACCAACATTTTGGTTAATTTCAGTTATGCATGTAAGTGGCCTTGAAATTGTTATATGAAAACAATGCGGACGCGTAGAGATACACACAAAAATAACAATCAAACACAAAAGATTTATGTAGTTAGGTGTTAAATTGATTCGCCTGCATCCACGGAGAGAGAGATTTCACCAGCACTAGATGGGAGAAAGAAAAAAGGCTAGGAGTTACAACTCACACTTCTCATCATAAATCTCTTATAAGCCCTTAAATCCCTTTATAGAGGAGAACCGGGGCATACAAGTAAATAAAACCAAAGTCCAAATTACCCCTAATTAAAAAAGCCATAAAATACAGCAGAAATATTTAAAAGAAAAAAGAAAACGTGCATGTAACAAATGATATCCATGGGAACTGCAAGGGATCTATGATACACAAGCCTGTGACATCCAGGAATCCCAACTCCACACTCGGAGCAAGGAAATTAATTCTTCTAAAATGTTCTGATGAGGCCACCTCTTACTATGGAGTCCAATTTAATAAAGCAAAAATAGTTGGTGAACACTTCTGGAATTGTGTCGATTACTGTTTTTCTTCGCCTCGTTAAATATACAGAGAGATGTTTATATAGATTGCAATATTTAAATTTCAACCAAAACTCCAATCCCACCTTTACTAATTACCGACCATTTCTCCTACAATCTCAATATATCTCAACCCCCTTTACCCACATCACCAAAGCACTCCATCTCTTTGTTAGGCGCATTGAGACATCAATAGTGGAGGTTATTACCTTGTTTTCCAGGGATGCCTTGCATTTCTTGTGTTGTGCCCCGAGTATAGCAGAAACAGGAGCATCTTTCAGCTCATGGCCCTTTCCTTTGTTGTATCAACTGCCTCCCTTTCTGCAAGCAATGTCTGATACTCTTATTTCTTTTCTTCAAATGCTCTCTACTTGGTTCCTAATTCATCAAATTCTTCTGTAGTGATGTCTTGATGTTACAGAAATGTTGCTTGACGTCCTCCAATAGACATTTGTCTTGCGAAAAACATTCTCTATGAGACTCCATTTCATCAAATGGCTTTCTAATTGGTTTTATCATATCTGCAATATATTTGTCACCAATCACAAAATCTTTAACTTCCTCCATCGCTATAATCAGGTGGGAAAGCTGTCAGTAACCTGTGAAACAAATCAACATATCAAGCATCAATAGTAACTGCAATTAAATGAACCAACATTTTGGTTAATTTCAGTTATGCATGTAAGTGGCCTTGAAATTGTTATATGAAAACAATGCGGACGCGTAGAGATACACACAAAAATAACAATCAAACACAAAAGATTTATGTAGTTAGGTGTTAAATTGATTCGCCTGCATCCATGGAGAGAGAGATTTCACCGGCACCAGATGGGAGAAAGAAAAAAGGCTAGGAGTTACAACTCACACTTCTCATCATAAATCTCTTATAAGCCCTTAAATCCCTTTATAGAGGAGAACCGGGGCATACAAGTAAATAAAACCAAAGTCCAAATTACCCCTAATTAAAAAAGCCATAAAATACAGCAGAAATATTTAAAAGAAAAAAGAAAACGTGCATGTAACAAATGATATCCATGGGAACTGCAAGGGATCTATGATACACAAGCCTGTGACATCCAGGAATCCCAACTCCACACTCGGAGCAAGGAAATTAATTCTTCTAAAATGTTCTGATGAGGCCACCTCTTACTATGGAGTCCAATTTAATAAAGCAAAAATAGTTGGTGAACAAAATATACAGAGAGATGTTTATATAGATTGCAATATTTAAATTTCAACCAAAACTCCAATCCCACCTTTACTAATTACCGACCATTTCTCCTACAATCTCAATATATCTCAACCCCCTTTACCCACATCACCAAAGCACTCCATCTCTTTGTTCATAATATATATATATATATATATATTAATGATTGAAAAATAATATTTAGATTTAAAAACAATATTCACAAATACAAACAATTTTTAGAATGTAAGCCACTGGGTCATTCATCAGAAGAATTTACACAGGATCTTCTCTCCTTTCTCCTCTTTCTATCAACATCCCCATGAACCCTTACCAACCTTCACATATGAACATTATTTTTTCCTTATTCTGCTTTCTCTTCTACACTTCATTAAATGTTATAAGGACTAGAAAAGAATAATTGTTCTTACAGATCTTCTTTAACTTCTTCGCAATCACCATTTTAGTTTGTCCAGACAATTTGGAGTTGGCCTCACGAATCCAACTTTGATATTCATCACCTTTACTATGTTCAGCTTAAATGTAATTGATGAAATAATCCCAATTTAATGACAAATACCTTTTCACCTACATCAACATAATAATCCGTGGCCAGTAACACTCCATCTATAACAATCTGTAAGCAATAGGATTCCATGAATATTAATCTACAAATAGTAGTTTTTCATCTGCAACAACCACCCAATATTTTGATAGAAACATTCCATTTCTTACATGCAACTTATCAGGATTTTAGAATTGAAAACCGATTCAAAATGTGTTTCTTTAATTGATAGTCATTTCTCTACCAATTTGTACACAACTTGTCATTTTATCATATGTAACATTATAGAGGATGGTTTTTCCAACCAGTTCTTTGAAAAAGCTTTCTGTTCCGTCATTCAACTTAAGCTAGTCCACGCTAATCGCTCACAAATTCCTTATCTCCAGACAGCTTCAGCTAATAACTAGTAAAACAAAATCTCATTAAATTCATCACTTACCTCTTAATCTAAAGAGCTCGGTTCCTCGCTGGATTCCACTATCTGATCCACCGGTTGCAAGGAATGTAGCTGGACCAAAAAAAGAGACCACGAAAGTTAGATGAGCGAAACTACAGCTCGCAGTGAGAAATAATAGCTCGGAGGAAAGTATGAAATCGCCGGATAGCAGTGACGAACCTCCTGAACTGATTACTGGAACAAGATCTCAAGGAAAGGACCGGTCTCGGAGGAAAGCTGGTCGGGGTCCCGTCTAACAGCGTCATAGAGGATTCTTGTGACCGCGGTACGGTGAAGGGCGAGGGTTCAGCTTTTAGTTCCAGCGAGCACAGAAGCCTTTCCCCAAGTGGTTTGGTTTCTGCAACACATTCGGCTCTCAGATAAAATTTGGATTTATTTATTTTAAGATTAGAACGTTTTAGGTGCTGAGAGAAAGCCTCCACGTCGTCCGTATTCTGTGCTCCACGACCCAAAGTCGCAGTCCTCCACGTCGTCTGCCACCTAGCCTCACACCGCCGAACTCCTCTGCACTGCTGGTCTTCGCACACCACCGCTCTGCACAGTGCCTACTCCTCAGCCAAACTATTCTTTGCGATCCTCTTTGTCTCTGGCCTTCTCTGCCCTACCTTGTCTCATCTTCACCCGAGCCCACACAAAGTCTAGGATCTCTCCCCTATAAATAACGATCTATTCCATTGACGTGATTTATGAACGACTTCCAATTTAACAATAGAGTACTAAAAACATACATCAAGAGAGAAACTGATTTCATTTTTGTTCACTTCATTCATGTCTTCGATAATAGAGATTATCTATATAATGCAAAAATATTAATTCAATGAAATTAATTTATAAGTAGTTAATTATATTTTATTAAACTAATACAAAACTAACAACACTTCATAATATTGCTCCTCGAAAATCATATGATTCAACTGAACCATTTGAACCGTATCAAGTGTGACGATCAGAATAAAGCCGGTGAGGTCATATAAGAGGCTATATATCTGTATATTCAGATATATCATTTCTTCAAACCACCAGAAAACTTGTATCAATTGCTGTAGCCGAGTCTTTTCTTTCGACATCACGACCTCGCCTGTATGTCTGTTCTTCTCCTCTAATAGTAATAATGACCAGAAAACTAAGAGGACGATTCTTCTTCCCAAAACAAAAAAGTGGACGATTCCCTGCCACAGTTTTGACATCCAAGCACGGCAGTTTGCGTCATCTCCGGCCCAGATCTGAAAGCCAGATTAATATTCCTAATAATTTTCTTAGGTACTGTCTTCAGACTTTACTCTCCATCTCCTTTTTATGTCTACTAACATTTGTCATAACTTCATTAAAAATATGGTAATTTATATGCATACCACACGATTCTTATGCGGCTAGATATCCACAACTAAAATTCAATATTTATATATTTATAATATTTTAATATCAATATTGAAATGTATTCCCTTTAAAAAAGTTATAATAATAATTATTAAATATCCCTGAATAACAATAGGAAAAGAAAGTAAAAAATGAAAAAGTGAGAAAGAGAGACTTAGCATCCAATTGAATAGAATTGTATAACATTTTGATACAACTCGAAGCAATGACACAAATATCGAGATAAACTTTTGAGCAAGAAATATTTAAATATCATAAAAAGTCATAAAAAAGTCTGATTTCAACAAACTTATAGTCAACCTGACTGGCTAGACGAGACAGACCGAATGACACCAATATTGATCAAATATGAACCAAACCAAGTCTTGATCACAATTAAATCATGCTTGGAAGTATTTCAGATACATTAGAAAAGTCAAATAGTTGTTGAATCTGATGAGTTCATAGACAAATCAAACATCTTAGTGAGACCAATCCAATAAGCTCAAGATCGCTCAATTTCAACATCATTAAGGCACTCAAATGTTCATCAAAGTCATTTGATCGAGCGAAGTCCTTTGAGTCGCCCGATCAAAGTTTTTCATAATCGTGCATTAATTGACTCGGAACTCCGATCAAAGTTTTTCATAATCGTGCATTAATTGACCCGGAACTCTATAAATAGAGTCACATCCCTCTCATGAGGGGGCAGGATAACTTTAGACTTGAGTAAAAGCCTGAAGATTTGAGAAGGAGTTGAAGTCCAATATCACTCCTGCCGCAGTCAACCATTGCTTGCCGCCACCGACCGTCGTTGGATCCCACCAATTAACCACAGTGATCGCTATCGATCGCTGTCTGCTCCTTGCAACAAGTTCATCTGCATGTTAGCACTGTAATTCGAAGAATTTGTAACCATTTTATATATGTGGGACAATGGGTCTGTAATTATCAACTTATAGTAGATTTTTCTAATAGACTCTGTTATTATTCTCTTTACATGTTTTTCATGTAAGAAACTTCTATTGTCACTACTAGTTGTCTTTTCTCTTCTTCATGTGTGTTGAATATTCATATCACGTTAAGACGATAATATATCACTCTAGTGCTGCAAATTTTCTAACACGCACCACCTTTATTCATAAAATGCCACCTATTTATAGACAAAGAGGATCTAATAGATAAAGTTACATTTATACTTTATTTAAGCGGGGAATGTGCATGTTATTTTGGGTATTTCATCATTGTGGGCCCAGGGCCTTGTTGCTCTCGGTTTCAGACTATTGGGCTTGGTAGGACTTCATCGAACTTTGTTGATCAATTGGATTGGATAGGCATTTTTGGTCATCTGTGCTATTGAAGTCTTGGCAGGTGTACAGTTTGAGAGCAATTTACTCGGTTTATATTGTTGGAAGGTTATAATAGTAGACACTACTGGCTGACTTGTCTAATATTGGTCGGAAGTCCGTAAAACTGATCAGCTAAGTCCTGTCGATCAATTGACATGATGACCATCGGCCCCTGACTCTCGTCGAAGAACTCCCATCGACATAGTGAAGCTAGGCTGACAGATAGATGATAAATTAATCATCGTAATTCTAAATATAGTTTGCCCTTAGATGTGATCTTAGCAGAAGACTATTGGTTGTCCATAGTGTAGCAATAAGATCTCAGGGATTGGCCCCTTCTTCGAGCATGATGCATCAAAGTACTTGGTTTGGGTGATCATTTGTATTGTGAGTGGGTGAGTCGTTCGGCTCATGCCACATACTCATCTTTGTAGCAATTGTCTTTGAGTTTGGTTCATCTTGCAGGGCTTCTAGGTCCCCACCAATCTTCTGCATGTGAGGCCACCCTTTGATACTTTTTTATTTCCCAGACAGTCAAATCTTCTCGAGATTCGTGTTGCATAATTTCTATACAACAATAATAATAATATTGATTTAATATTATATTTTTTAGCATTACTAGGTAAACATGAAAACTTATATTTTTGGTATGTTAATATGAAAGAATTATGTGGTAGGTATAAAAATGCCCCTAAAAAATTTTTAAGATGAAAATTGAATTTAATATACATAATATAATGCCAATTTATAAAAAAAATTAATTGTAATCCACTAAATTTTAAATAGTGGGTTATCTTCTTTTCATTCAAAACGGAATACGAAAAAAAAAACACAGATATTGAAAATCGTAAAAAACTTGATTTTATTTATATTTAAATGTATTTTATTTTATTTTAGCTTATTGAAATTAAATAAACACTTAATTTCTGCATTATACAAACACACACTCATGCACGCACAAAATAGCGGATCACGAAACCAGGCCGATCAACAAGAAGGTGGCAGAATGGGGTCTTCTTGCTGAAGTGCCCGAACCTGGCCCAACAACTGAAGTGGCTAAACTGGGCTCATCAATTGATGAAGTCAAACCGAGACGATCAGTCAAAGAGGCTAAATCAAGCTTACAAACTGAACTAAGTGCGGGATGTTTGAACCCAGTCTGAAGTACCATCCAATCAGCATTCAATGGGCTTGTCAATATTGGAGGCCTAGCCCATCGCCTAAACAGAGAACAACCATGAACCAACACACCACCAATATCGGATTATGCACAAGATGTAGATATTGTCGAGCCTTCTTATAAAAAAATGCCGGAGGAAGCTCACAAAAGGGAATAGAAAGATTGTATTAAATATTTTATATATCTCATGCATAAAAGGGAAGATGATCTAAGAGGAAAGGGAACTGCTGCTGTTTTCCCTCTCTATAAGATGCTTTAAGCATTTTTTTCTTATGATAGTGTGAGGATTCCTATCCATTTCTCTCCTTTCCTCTTCTTTTTTTTTTTTTGTCAATTCTATAGTCATACGAGAACTTCACTGGGCTGTATGGTATCACGAACAATATGAAATCCTACATCCCAAAATAGATTCCATACATACATACCTGCATACAAATGTGTGTGCATTCAAATATATAT